AGGGAGACTTCAGATGATTCAACGGTATGAGGGGGGACAGTTTCCACAACTGATTTTTATGAGCAAAAAAATATAGAAACACATTGTAAAGAGGGCAAATATTTCATTTAAACATTTCTAAGTGAATCCTAAAAACATGGAGCATTCAAATATAGGTGGTGTCATACCAAAAGATGTTTACTTTCCCTATTTTTATTCTGAGAATCTGTTAAACACTATTCAGACTCTTGGTTCTCAAATGAGTTCAAGCAGCAACCTCTGATGTTCAGAAATTCAGCTGACACGAAAATGCAAAAACATGCAGTTCCTAAATAATCCACTTCAGGCTGTGTCCACAAGCAGAGAGGCCCAAATAGATCTCATTTTGACAGGCCTGTTTTTACACCAGGTGAAACATGTCGCCTGATAAGGAATAATTTGGGTCTGGTTCTCTCGACCAGTTTTCTAGGTTCAACTAAGATTAGCTTGAGTCTGCGTTTACGTTTGGGTGCCTCCAGTGTCGGGCTCCAAAATGTCTCCTCATAAAACCCGTGAGTTGCATTTTTAAGGCTATGCTCTTGTTCAGTTCTCTGGATGATTCCTAAATGTAGGTTGCAGAGCCATTTTCAGTGGGTCCTGGATGTGTTGTGCTTTTATTTTGAAGGGCATGATGCATTGTGCTTGCAAAAGTAGAGTAGCTTTGTTCGCATGTCGACAAAGTAGAAGGCTGAAGTGGACCTTGATGACACCCACCAAATGAAGAAATAGTAAATGTTCTACTGTACCAAAAATCCATGTAATTTGAGGTTGTTTAACAAAAGAATTTTCACCACAGTTCTCCAGCCAACTCTTGAGGATGTTAAAGCCTCTTGGAGCTCCTTCAGTCTGACTGAAACTGGACTTTTAAAACACGTAAACACATTAGTCTGATTGTTTCCATCCAAGCAACCTGAGAGGCAAGAACAGAGCTGATGCCGAGAAAGATCCTCTTAGCTGAACTTACAAAACATATCTGCTTAATGACATTAATTTGAGCTAAATTGCCAAGATGGCTGCTGGTGGGATCTAAGATTGAAATATAGCAGACTGCTTAATGCCTCATTTGCTCTCCGCATTTATTATTTTCTGCATTTACCCGGCAAAACATTTAACTGTTGGATTCTCCTGGTGCTTAAAACAGGAACCAGAACATTTTAGACACCAAAATGTTGCTGCACACGCAAAGGTTCTGCATTTTAGGTAATTCAGTGAATAAAAACTGAGGGGTAGATTTGTGAGCATGATAGTATTATCCTTGTTTCAGGGTTTCATCTTATTCAGGCCAAGGTGTTTATGCTGAAGAAGCCCGGTTATTCATAATCCTGTTTACACGATTCAGTCCAAGTTTCTGATTGTCTGTGTACAGCTGTGTCCTCATTTGTTACAGTCTTGGCCTCTCAGTTCTGTATCCAGGTTCCTGAGAATGTTCAAAAACTAGATGAGGTGTTTACATGCCGCAGTATTCTGGTTTCTACAAGTCCTGAAAGTAACATAAAGGTTTGTTAAACATGTTAACATGCACACCATACAACTGGAACAGCACTGTCTCCTCAGTTGTTATAAGTTGCCCTGCTGCAGCTTATATTTATTTGATATGAGGAAGCAGGAGCATGGGTTCTCTTTGCTGGCTCTGCTGCTTAAACACACCTGCATGCAATCACCACTACCACTGCACTCACCTGACTCTCATCAGGCCAATGAAACTTGGAGATTATATATATACCCCGGCTCTTTATTTACTCTTTATTTGGTTGTTGTTGCTGCCTTAGAGGTTGCTTAAGCCCTGGGCCTGACGGTATTTTCTCTGTTTCCACTTACAGTGTACAATGCCTTGAGTTTTTGCATCAAAAAGACCAGTTTGCCTCCGTACTGCCTCTGAGTTTGAAAATGGGGCTTCACAAAATCCCATTTAAAGATAAAATTCAGTCAAATGTGTTAAAAAAGTTACAAAAAGGATAGGCAGTGAAATATCCAAGTCTAAATAGTTACAGGTCAATAATCACTTTCAAACATCTAGTAAACTCTAGCAGAGTAAGAACTCAGTCAGAGTTTTAATGATCTGTAGTTAATGGCTAAGTGTGTCACTGATGTAACATTGCACCTGCCTCTAATCTGCTGGGACTGCTGCTGGGTGTAAAATAACACAATCACAGGTGGACTCCTGTGTGTGTGGAGGAGAAAAAGAGTGATAATCATGGTGGATGAGTGATCCTATTAAGTGAAGAAGCAACCCACGGGAACCTCGTATGTTGTTTACAACTTGATTGTCTCAGCAGAGGGATCATAAATAATTGTTATGAGGACTTAATCCTGAAGGATAATGTTGTTTTCATTTGTAGTGAAGATGCTCTGAAAAGAGGCCATCACTGTGATTTACAGTGGATGAGGAAAACACTCAAAGTGGGAGTGAATTCTTGGCTTGCAATGGCAACAAATGGATGCAGCACAGGGTGAACTTGTGACTTGTATGTTACAGGACCGTCAGTTTGACCATTTGTTCACCTTGTTAATGTATCTTATATGATTTAAATTTTTTTTTTTGAGAGACTGGTTAAAAGTGGGATGTTTTCATTCAGAAAAATGACCTTGTTGACTTCCAAACTTTAAAGAGTGATGTTTTTAAAAGAGGTGATGCAACACAATGCTAACAAATGATAGTGTTGTGTCGTTCGCGACCGATTTGTTCAAAAGAACCGAATCTTTTAAGTGAACTTACTAAACCAAATCACTTCCTCAAGTTATTTGTTTGTTTCTCACTTCAGTTGAGCTGAAGTGAGAAACAGCATTGCCTGGCCAACAGCCAACGAATGAGGGACCACATGCACCAACGCCTGAAACCGTTGGTGAACGAATCACTCAACTATGGAACGACCCCTAAACTACCCCCTTGTTTTACCACTAAATTGCCACCACAACAACTTGCATACAATAGGACACAGCATGTAACGAGTAGCGCATTAAACCCACAGCATTCTATCATTGCAGCTGTTTGCGAGGGAAGTTCAGTTTGAAATATTCTTAATGTTCAGTGAACGAATCACTCACTGACCCCAATTTACTGAGCAGACCTGATAAATAGCATACCATTGGACAGTACATTTAAAACATCATGACTTATGAACAAGTTCATTTTTACAAACCTGTTTGAATTGAACTGAATCCTGAACCGTTCAGCTGTGTATCAGTTCAGGAGGTCGGAGTCGCAGGCTTCTCCCGCCAAACGCTAAATGATTCAGTGATTTGGTGAACGAATCTTTTTAGTGAACTGATTCTAGTGATTCAGTACACCTAAAAGAACTGCCGTGCCCATCACTAACAAAGGATATGTTGTCTTAGCACCTTTTCTAGTTATATATAGGTTTAGTGTTAGGGCTAGGGTTAGTGGGATGTTTTTATTTACATAACTTAAGAAAATGACCTTGTTGATTTCCAAACTTTTAAGAAGTGATGCAACACAATGTTAACAAATGATAAGTTCTCTTTGCACCTTTTCCAGTTATATATATATTTTACCTTCAAATGCTGTTTTTATCAACATTTTTGGACCCTGTACTGTCACCCAGTAAGTAGCCCAATCCTCATCATATTCAATTCCTGACAATCTGATTTGGTTTTGAAGTTCAGGTGTCCTTTTACTTGATCCATGTTGTTGTCTTACATGTTTTATTTGAGTCCAATGAAGCTCTAAGCTGCCTCAGTACTGCTTTGCCATGCTATGAGCTAGCTGTGCTTTCTTCAGCTGATATTTACTGATTAGCATGTTCACATGAGGGATATTAATCACAACCTCCATCTAATCAAGTCTCTAGATCGTTAATGGGGGCTCTTAATGCAAATGCAGTATTCGAATGCTGACGTTAACAGGCAGGCTCAGACATTTGCATGTGCGCACACATTTATGCATGTGGAGCACCACCACCATAGAGTTCTGCAACCAAGCACGGCATCACCATCTCCTCAAAAATGCAAACAAAAATGATCAGCAGGAGACGTGTTGTTGTCGTCTGCAGGGCTTATTTATTTGTCTGGTCGTGCTTTCTCGGCAGGAATGTATTGTTTGACACTTCTAAGGCCTGATGTTTGGTTGTTCTGGAGCTTGTGCAACTCTTGAGTTTGCAAGGATGAAGAAATAAAAATAAAAAGGAGAATGAAGAAATGGAGAAAACTGACTCAGGGTAAACCTAGAGGTTTGACAAAGTAATTCTTACTTAATCTGCACCTGGTTTCCTCTTTTTCAACCCCTGCAATGTGCGTACACACTACCATTGTGACTGTGATGAAGTGACATACCAGAGTGCTATGCGAAGGGTGCCATGGCTCCTCACTGTGTTCCTGCTAGTGATGACTCACCATCACTGCAGCACCAGGCTGCAGCTTTGGCACCACACACTCAGCCATAACGGCAGCCAACTCCCACTGAGTGTGCGTGTATGTTCAGTGAAAAAAAAAGATAATTTAGACAGAGAGAAAAAGAACAGGAACTGACATAATAAACATTTTTCTACACAACACATCTTTTCTATTCTAAAAGGTGCTTTTTTAAGGAACTTTTCAAGCCGTTTGAAGGAATATAACCATCTGTGTGCAGCAGCAGGAAAACAGGATTCGAGATAAAAACCTGCTGCTGAGATCAATGAGTCTCCAGGGACAAAAGCCATCAGAAGATGCCCCCGCTGATGGATCTTAATTTTATCCCAATGCAGCTCCACCTCCTGGAGCCTTTGGTGTGTGTCTAATTTCAGTTCATTTCCCTCAGAAGTGTTGTCTGGCTCTCAGAGTGAAAAACAAGCTTAAATAAGCCTTTTTCACCGGACGGAATAAAAGTGTCAAAGCAGGAGTGTAGAAATCACTGAAGTTAAGGCAGAAGAAGTGATTGTATTAAAAAAAAAAAGACCTTTATTTATTTAGACACTGGATTTAGTATTACATAAAAGAACAGCTTGAAGCACAGATTGGAAAAAGAGGCAGCAGCAGGACTTAATGATTAATTAACCAGCAGATGACAAGCCTGCAGGAGATACACGGATTACATAAGGTTAGAGATCCCTCTGTCCACACACAAACACACACACACACAGACCCACAGTGTTAATGATGAACTGATGTTGTCTGCAGCGATTGGCACAGAGTGTGTGTGTGACAGAAAGAGTGTTTGCTGAGTTATGTCATGCAAGTGCAGACTTGGTGTTATTCTATCAAATTATGGGCAGGAAGCTTCGCTCACATTTTCACTTCAGTGTGATTGCTCTGAGTAAATTCACATTTTCGAAAAGCTTTCAGAAGGGCTTTTGTTTGTGAGGCAGGTGGCCTTTAAAAAAACATAAGTGGAAATGTGTGATTCTGAGAGCATCTGGACCGACAAAAATGATGATAATCTCTTGGTCTGTGGGATGTGACAGTATCACATTGTAACAAGTGATTTATTCACTGCTTTTGGCATTCCAGTATCATCAGGACACAGCTTTGGGTAATGCTTTACAATAATCATAACTTATGAGTGGTAATTAGACCATATATAAATGGTAAGCAGATAGTTTATTGATAATTAATCATCATTTATAAATAGCATATAGACCATTAATAAATTGTAAATTTTAAAAACCTAACTTTAACTTTACAATAACCGTCTAAATAATGTTTTCAGGTGGTTTATAAACCACTTATTCATCATTTACAAAGTATTACAAACATCAGTTGCAACTTTACAATAACAATCTAAGTAATGTTTATATATGGTTTAAAAACAAAAATATTAACCAGTCACAAAGTGCTAATCATAATTTCATTGCTTGTTGATGGTAAAGTAACCATTAACTTACATTAATAAACTATCTATTTGCCATTTATAATTGGTCTATTTGCTGTTTTTAAATGAATAAACTATCTGTAAGTGTTACCCAGCTTTGCAACAGTACCTGAATGCTACAGCTTTAATGGACACTAAATGCAACATTTAGCCCATTTTACCAATATCAGTCTTCAATATTCTAATAAAGACTGCAGATTATATGTTTTAGGTATAGTTTTGGGGAAAAGGGGTTGAAAATGTTTAAGGCACTGATGGTGAACCTTGCAGGAAATGTGTGGGCACCGCGAGCTAAGTGTGCAGCATTCAAGTCCAAACAAAGATTGTATCATTTTGTATCCTATTGTGTCTTTTATGTCTCATTTTACATATATGAAACAGACAGGGCTTGGCCAGTGATGTCAGCATTGAGCAGCGGTAGTACAGGAGGTAGACAGTCGTCCAATGACTGGAGTGTTGGTGGTTCGTTTCCTCCCTGTCCCGAGTCTGTCCGTTGTGTCCTTGGGAAAGACACTTAACCCACCTTGCTCCCAGTGCATGTCCTCGACTGGTGTATGATTGTGAGTGTTGTGTGGTGGTGGTTGGAGAGGCCGTGGACGGCGCAAACTGGCAGCCCCATTTCCATCAGTCTTCCCCAGGGCAGATGTGACTACTACGATAGTTTACCAATGATGTATCTAATGTAAAGCACTTTGAGGGTCTCTGATAAGGCACTATAAAATCTGGTGCATTATTAGCATTATTTAAAATGTATTAAAGTTAAAGTAATTTTGGAGTATAAATGAGAGAAAAAAAGAGCGTGGATGAAATCCCAGAGTACCCAACCCCACGGACAACTGGAGCCAGTAGAGAGATACTCATACTCAAGTGTGGCTGCATACTGTCATGCAGTTTCTACCACAACACAGACTAATTTACACACGTGCTTCCTCAGCATGCACAGCCAAACCTCCCTGATCTCTAATGAAAGCCTTCATTATGTGTATACGGCCACCACTTAGGGCGTCTTGCAGACTAATGATACCTGTTTCCACCACTCTAAACTCCGACACCAAAGACTCACAATAAATCACTCACTTCTCATTGCACTAATTAATAAAGCCGTGCCAGACTTGGAGACTCTGAGAGGAATTCAATAATGTTCTCAGAAAAACCTTCAAAGTCAGACTCAATTATTAAAATACAAAGCAGCCTCTGAGTTTGTTTTTGCCCACTCAGCTAAGGGGGGAGGGGTAGTTATAGCTCTGCGGGTATTTCTGAATGTGTTTATGCTTGTTAGTGTGTGTGCCTTAGTAAGTTGTGTTAGTGGCTTTGGGGTTCAGGCCGCCAACCCCTCTCAGCGGGAAGGCACTGTTGTAACCACTGGGGTCAAAACACTGTGATCCCAAGGCTGCCAAGAGGTCAAAGGACACGAGCCCTCAGGGGATCCAGCGGAGACACTCCTGGACCTACAAGGTTGATTCAGGAGACAGAACACAAACTTTCCACAATTAGAAATGAATCCCATTAATCCAAGCAGGTTTATTAACTACCAAGTCTGCCACGTAATCAGGGTCCAAAATGCCACTGTGTTTTACCTGTGGGTGGCTGTAAAGGTAGGACACAACGGCATCATGTTTGAAACGATCGCATTTCATTCGAGTATAATTTCAGACGGATGGGGGTTAAGTTACCTCAGAGAAGTGATACAGCTTTCTACTGACCTTCAAATGCCAAATTAGAGATCACAAACAAAGCTACTTTATGGGCATCATGTGCAAATTTGGTTTGGAAAGGTCCTTCTGCAAAAGTCAATCAAATTAAGCACTTTAAGTGTTCAGCCAGACACTAAATTGGTTGGCTGTTGGTTTGATGGATGTGCATTTCCTGCTAAGTAGTTCCCAATTGTACACAAAAACCATAAATCATGTGTGGTTATGTCTCTCTTTGTGCTTTCAGCTACTCTGACGCCTCCACCAGTTAAACTGATTGCTACCAAGAAGCATCACAATCACAAGTCTGCAGCTTTTAAAGTCACATTTGGTGCCGACCAACTATCTGGTAATCGCATCACAGTCCTCTAATATTGTTAGTGGGGTCCCTTGAGGCAAAAACACAATTCCAGTGTCATGCATGGGTAATCTTGTGATTCGTAATAAAAAGCTAAGGTTTTGATCAGTACTTCACTTTTGCTTCAGTCTGGTCTTTAACTGGGACCACCTTGGAGATATTTTTGAGTTGATCCTTGCAGCAGCCATCCATGTGGAATAAAGACACTATTCATTGACTTACTGGCCCGATTACTGTTGACTTAGGCAGAGGGGGGAGAAAACACGAAAACATGTGCTGATTTAGAAGGCTTCAAAACCTCCAGCCTCGCCTGGATGAATTCAAATGTAAGTCTGCTCTGGAGCTCGAGGTAACAAAATTTGTGGCAGCTTTCCATTTCAACTGAATCAGTAAAGCACTAATGTACAAAACCTGCAATCTGGCAAAGTAAGGCCCCCACATCAGAACGCTTTCCATCTGACACATGATAATCCTTTTCCTTTGACCTTTCTTCTGTGCTGCGTGATCTTTGAGTGTGTGTAAAACTCTCTGGTCCTGCACACTTTGGTCCTCACACCCCCTGATCCTTTGTGTACTGCAGATCATCTCTTAATGCTCAACCATGTCCCGCACAAAGCCAATGCTTATTACTCACACCCGATTGACTCACAATGAATCCCAACGTTTCATTGCGGAGCGCCAAGTTCATATAGCAGCACAACTACTCTTTTTCCAGGGGGGTGAGTTTGACAAAATGACCACTATGGATGACAAAGTGTCCATTTGCACTTCCTCAACACTTTGTGGTATCTGACTCAGTTTGGTCAGCTGGAAAAGCTCTGAGATAGGAGGGCTGGAGCTTACCCTTTTAGAGACGTGATTTGGCCAGTCTAGTGTCAATACAGAGCTGGACAAATAGGCTGCTATGTCTACTAAATAGGCTGGTTGTGTATTTTTAAAGAGCTCATTATGCAGGATTGCCTGTCCAGCCCTGCACATGATCTCTCTCCTCCTTACTGTCAATACAAACTGAAGTGAGACCTGTTTGGGAGCTTCATTCACTACTTAAGACACAGAATGGGCTACATAGCAGGCAGCCATTGTCATGAGAGGAGGCTAAAATTCTTATTTAAAGTTAAATATGATTCATCACCCAGCTTTATGTCCATGTGCCAATCAGGTCAGTCATGCCCCTGATTACTTGCAACCTTTATATCTCCAAAAACAAAGACTTTTCAAAAAGACTGACTCCCGTACATTGTGCACATTTAATGAAAAAGGCTCAAACCAAAAATATTTATGTATTCCAGGATGAAAACATTGTTATTTCTACCTTGAAAAAGGAGGATTCAGACAATTTTCTCTACTTTTTGTTGGTTTCTACTGTCCAATATTGTAGCATGCTAACTTTGTTTGGGCTCCTGAACGACACAGGGGAGCAGCGTCCACCTCACAACCAATCAGGTTGGGGGAGGTGGGGAATGGCTTTGTTTACAGTCAGAAAGAGCGGAGCGCTCTGAAATTTTAAAATGTTGACTACACAGACATAACAAAACACAGCGATATCCTTATATTACCAAATGTCATCAATAACTATTAGCTATTGACTGATATTATAAGCTTTTTTGTGTGTACACCACAAAAAAAGATGCTTCTTTAAAGGATTCCTGCCTACCCGACCTTTAAATTCATATTGAATTTTATCAATCACACAAGCAGGACTATCAGCAATAAGACAGACAAACTACATTTTGATTTATATTGCCTAAAACTAGTGTAGGGGGTAGGCGTCAGCCAAGCGGCTAGAAAGAAAACTCTTTTTTTGAACATTTTTCCATCTGAAATTAGAAATTTTACCACCAGAAATCACTATGATATTCAAGATGTTGGCTTCATTAATCAGTTGGCTCCTGCTTGTGTGTAAAAGTGACTGTCCTGATTTAGTTTTTTATTATAGATCCATACTGGATATTTACTCTTAGGGTTAGACATATTGTTTCAGAAACTGCTGGACGTTTTTGAAGTTATTTTGAGAAATGACATCGACCCGTATGTTGGGTTGGAACCAGGCTGCGAAGTCTCTGTACATGGCACACAGGTTAACCACAAGGCCAAACTGGCATCCAAAATCACTTTGATGATGACTTTCCTCATAAAACTCCCAGTAGTTACTATTGTAGACTTGGTATTGCGCTTACACTAAAACCTAAGCTAGCAACAGTCACTTGGGCAAGGTAGAAAAACAACAAGTAAACAAGAAAAGCAGGAGGCTAAGATAAACGTGTCGAGCGTAAAGAAAGTGACGAAACAAAAACAACCCTGCAGCACTGCAAACCTGAATAGAAAGAAGCTCCCTACAATAACAGCAGCTGAAGGGGGGGCTGAATCATGCTAGCTTGATTAACCTCGTTTGCTTGAGTGACCACAAGTGTGTGCACGCTCATACACACTACACACGCATGTGCTTCATCTTTGTTTGATGCTTACATACAGTATGCGCATACATGTGGGTTTATGTATGTGCGCATAACAACCTGCTGTTTCAGAGGCGTTCATTAAAGCCGTACCAGCGCCTTGGCCCCCCTGCTGCTCCAAGCTTCATGTAAATATAAGGGGAAGACAATAATAGAGCTCAGACTCTTAAAAACTCTCAGGAGTCAGCTGCTTTGCATGAATGTAACCGCACATCCATCACATAGAGCCACGTCAAATTTATTTATATAGCATTTTTAGAATAAACAGGTTAATTACAAGGTCCGCAGTCAACCAGACGAGATCACTCTGCAGCCTGAGGCACCATAAAGGCCAGCATCAACCACATTAAACAACCATTGTGAGTGATGTGGCGAAGCTTTTTCATCATTGTGGGAAAGTTGTGAGAGAGTTTTATGGACGGCTCATTAATACAGAGGGCTGCTGTACATCAACAAGAGATGCTCCATATTCTGCAGAGCCACAGGATTAGCCAAGCATGTTGTTTTTGTAGGCTAATCTGTGCATTCAGGATTAACCATGCCTTCATTATGTGGATTTACTGTATACTGAGTGATTACCATAAAGATTTGAGTCTTAGTGTCTTCTTGCCTTGCATACAGCATCACAGAAAGACTTGTTGACAGTTTTTCCTGCAGCAGTTCAGGTCAAATTAGACCGGGTTGCAATCTTGGTCTTTTGGAGTTTAGGTCACAGAAGATATACTGTCGAAACTTATGAAAACCTTGTTGTCTGTGTGTTCTTTTGTTGGTGCAGTGGACAGAAAATAAAACAAGTTTTGGAAGACGCCCACTTCATTACCTCAGTTTGCACATGGCAGTTGTTTATATGTATTGCACATGTGCCAAGTTGGTAAGCTACTGGCAAACATCTGCTTGGTACTCTGTTTATTTGCATGTTCGCTGGAAAAACTAGCTGTTCTTCATCTGCACCACACTATTTCATACACCACTCTTGGTAGTTTGTAATTTTCCTCTCTGTAAACAGTGCGCAGATACCCAGTACGTATGCCAGCAATGGTCTTCCTATTAGTGTTCGACATGCAAGACCGATTAAATTATCGCAACCTACTGGTCTGTCATGCTTGTATGAGCATTTTCAAACATTTCTGTTTTTTAAGGTTTCAAAAATACCTGCCTCCGTTTGGACTTGGCTTGAGTTTGATGAATGAATCATCTCAGTGCAGGGTCAGGTGTGTGTGTGTGTCTAATTGTCCCTGATTAAGACCAGGTGTGGGAAGTTGATATATCCCTTTGGGTTCCCGTGCTCTGTTTTCACTCATTATCTCACCATCAGAGGTAGTGAGTGGATCCCTTAGTGTTTTGTTGTGTAGGGGTGTGTGAGCACACAGAACCACTAAAAAGTCTTGCTTACCAGTTCTAGTTGCTGTCAGTGTCTAGTTTGTTACTGGTTGTGTCATTAATGACATGACCTGGTATAATTTGGAGATAACCCCTGCTTATCAACCCGACACAGTGCCTTCACTTAAAAGATTTTATGGTAGAAAAGTTTTTGTATAAGTAACATATATGTTCAGAGACACTGACAAACACCCAGGATCTTGCCAATAGAAGCGCAAGATTCTAGATATAAAGCTACATAGATCATCTCTTTTCTTTGATATCCGGCTGTTACATTTCAAAAATGTCTGCCATGCAACATGTGCTGCGGAGGCCTTTCACATGGGTGCCACCTCGTGTCAACATCAGATGAATCCATCCAGTCACATGTTTGTTGAGATCAAATAGGTCCATAGTATCACCATGAGAGCCCTGAGGCCAATCAATCAGCTCAGTAATGTGAACTGAGGATGGTAACAGGAAAACATGTTGTCCCTGCCTCATAACACATCCAGTGACTGCCCTGCAGGATCAACTTAGTTTTACTGGCGAAACGCAGATTAACACACAAACCAAGCCCTGTGAGTTGAGCTTAACACTTTTGAATCACTAATGTCATTTCCTACTCCACGCCCAGTTGTTACACTCCTGCTGTTCCCAATTGCTGAAACAGCAGGTTAATCACATCTCAAATTTGCAAAATGTCAATATCCTGCCACGGTGTTTGCATTCCCAGCTCTTCAGCTATTTCTGGAGTCACGATGGGTGTGCTGACATTTGTTTCCTGTCCTGACTGTCTGGACTGGAAGGCGGCTCATCGGGAGATAAACTGTCCAGACAATAAAAAATTCAAGAGAGCATTCATCCATTAAAAGACATCACTGGCTGAGGTTTATAAGATTCCCAAGAAGAAGTGATTATATCCTTTTTTTTTTTAACTTATTTGACGTCCTGTTGACATTTCACCATGTCACTGGGACTTCTTTAAGTCTCCGGAAAGTTGGATATGTGTGGCAAAAATCATCTTTCTTGGCAAGACTGCTGCGAGCGGCTGGATTTTCAAAAACTGCGAGATGGTGCAAGTGAACCAATTTGCCACGCCCCTTCTGTAAACCAATGCCTAGTTTGCATTATTACCATGATGCACATGCAATTTCCAGGCCCTCAAAGCTTCAACAGATGACAGGGAATAATAACAATAGTAGCTAAATCATTATTTGATGGTTTATAAAAGTTTAACACTTCTGTAGAATTTTTTTTACCAGGTGAACAGAGTGGATGAGGGTGGAATGAAGGTGAGGGAAAATATTAGCAACACTAACACAAGTTATTGAACTTGGCAAAGCCGCGTGTTGTACCAACCTGAGGACTCCTTTTATTAGTGTGTTTAAAGTGTACTTAATGGGAGGAGTGCAACCTCAAGTTCTGGGATCTACCAGCTAGATCATTTGGGTGCATCCAAATATGTCATCAGTGCAATGTGTCATTGAGGCATGTGACAAACACAGTCAATAACCTGCTTTGGGCATTTAGAGGACGATTATTCTTTCACCACTGCTGGTAACTTGATCTTCCAATCAAAGGACTTGTAAAAAATAGTTGCAACATAACCCAGCAGTATGTTGCGCCCCCAACAGACCTGGAGCCATCTGATTGAGTTTCCTTCTGCCCTCCTGTTCATCTGCTTCAGTTTTTATGGTTTGAGATCCCTATTTCTCTTTAGGAAATGTTTTGACCTTATCAGCCACTGTAATTTCATAATTCCTCAGACCTTTATGGAGCTGGACAAATCTTAAAATAAAATCCTCATTTAGATTCCTCCATGTGTCCTTCTCTGACCTTTCTAATTTCGATGACCTCAGTGGAAGTTAAATGCCAAATTCCAAAAAATCCAGCCGCACGCTCTACCCAGCCGAGCACACAGAGCTGGAATTATTGTTGTTCTCTTCCAGCAGTGCCCTTTCTGGCTGACTCCGCAGAGATTTGCACATTATGCAGAATGACACTTCCCATCGATCATCTGCCAGACAGACAGACTGACAGACAGGCAGCTGTGTCTGAACTTTGAGTGACTTCTCATTTGTCCTGCAGCGAAAGCCCATCAGTCTCAGCTTGTATCTGTCAAACTGCACCTTTACTCTACGTATTAGGTGATGAGATGTGTGCACCTGTGGCAGTGAGAGTTTATTTTTAACGTATTTTGACTTGTTGCGTAATGTTGGCACCTAAACTTCAGGCTGTTACTGAAAATTCTTGACAGACCTAATTTGATTTATGCTCAAATTTGCACCTGCTGTGATAAAGATTAATGTTGTGTGAATTCAGAAACATTTTGTTCCTTACGAAGGATGTTTTTCGAATCTCATTTTCAGGGAATTTTACGGCAGTTTGTTTTTCTCCAAACAGCCTAAACAGAATAGGCCAAAAACAACAGCAATACTTTCATAATTAAATGAAAAACAAATGAAAGTAGTTTCTCTTATTAAGCTTGACTTCCTTATTTTGAAAAGACATCCCGCATTAGTATAAAACATGACCCATCCGACCGCATCTTTCTTAAGACAAATCAGTTATGACGGGGCTTTACTGATTACTCATCCCATTACCATGTCCTGTTTGGTAATTCTCCAAATAAGTGGATTCCAGACAAAAAATAACCCAATCTCCTTTATTGGACATGACATATGCTACCTGAAGCATGTCAAAATAAAAGCCTTTAATCTAGACAGAAACATTGAATCATGTTTTAAAAAATGTTTTTCAAAATAAAATGGCGTTGTCTCCACGCCATGCAGGCCGATCGATGATGTATTTTAAAGTGAGGATCCACATGTTATTGACACAGCAGCAGGTTTACAGAGGGGAAACAGCCTGCGGCAGGGATCAGGGATGTGAGAGCAATAAAAGGTTCATGTAAAACCATATTTGACACACACTGGTGCACATGCAAAAGCCCAATGTACACAGCGAACAAGGACACACAGATACAGTAACATTAACTAACGTGAACACAGTTAAGCAAACTGAGACCAGTTCATTCCCAACAGTCATGCTTACTGGAATCAGGAAAAATAAAGTGTAACTATGAATGTTGAGGGAGTTTACACCAGGGCTCACTATATCTTGCAGAATCGATATCTTTATTATCGTTTTCAGCTCAAAAAACTTTCACATAATGTTCTTTCAGAGTTGTAGTTCTTCATTCCAGGACTCAAACTTCTGACCTTCACATGTTTTGACTCATGAATTGGCTTGGACTTGAGCATTGGTGTCTCTGGACTTGCCTCAACTCATGGAAACTCATTAAAGCTTCCACAAGCAGCTCTGTTTGTCAGTTTTGGCCCCCCTTGTGGACAAAGTAGTCTTAACTTGAGCAGAACTTTTTGAAAAAAAAATCTCATCCTGAAAAAATTCACATGATTTAAACTCACAGGTATTCTTAAATTTACTCCATGCTGAGGGATTCTTCGAGCCTCCAAAATGATGCGCTGATTAATTCCTGGTGAAATCCGTAAATGTTAAAGGCGATAAAAGCTGACACAAAAGAATCCAGTTGATATCATTTCCACAAGGGAGGGGAAGTTTCCTGCACTTAGTTCTGGTTTCCTTTTAACATCTTTGAGTCCCTGGAGCTTTGCTGTCAGACACGACTGAGGCACCGCTGGCTTTTTAAGTCCCCCATGTCTGCTACGCCCCACATTATATTTCCATCTCATAATGATATATCCAATATACGGGAATGAAAGTAAAAACTGGCTATACAAAATGACGCACATCATCACTTTGCCATCAAAAGATACGAAAATAAGTCCAGGGCACGCCAAAGGCTTCACATCTATATGTTTTAATGAGCCAGACAGCCTCTAGGAAATGACTCATGTTTATTTCCAGCTCTTGAGATGAATGATGGTAATAATGCTGCTCTGTGTCCTATATACTGCTCCTCATTATTGCAAATTACACAAAGAAAGATACACAGACAGTGAGTAAATAACTGTTCCTGCCCTCCTTCTACTTACATGAACCCTTGTACTGTGCAATTACACATGATGGCAAACATCCTATTACTGTACGATTCCCCTCACCCACTCAGGATACTTTATATAGAAATATGAGAGGGTCAAACTTCAACGATGGACCAAGTTTTCTGTTACTCTCAAACACAATATGAATAAGTACTTGGAATGAGTTTTAGAGGCTATCAGGATGCTTCAACTAGATATGCCTATTTTTTTTTTCCAGTCTGCTTGTCCAGCAACCCCCACCCTCCTTTAATGATTTTCTTCTCCTATCCTATAATATACAGACAGGGTCATGGCCTTAATTCGACCCTATTTGCACCCCATCCTCCACCCCCCACTCTGTGTATCCAGATGATGCGGGACAGCTTGGGAAACAATGGCAGACAGGGCAGACTGAGCGTCTGAAAGTCTCTTTGTTTACATCCTGCTAATTATGTAACACATGATGGATCATATCGTTTCTGTCAGAACAAATGAATCTCCAAAAGCTGGTGTCAGGATTTTGACAAGTATTTCAAGATGTCTTTTTTTAGGAACAGAGAGTCTGTACAGGGTGTCCCATATCACGACTGCCTGTTCTGAAATGTGAATGTAGTCTCAGTGACGTCACTCACTAGTTTCTGAGAAAGCACGAAGAGACCAAATGATGGCAGTTGCCATGTTGGAAATGCTGACTCAACTCCTATTTTCAACCAGTGTGACCACAGGCAAAGAGGTGGAGCTAAAGCAGTAGCTGTTTAAAGCCTCCAGACAAACAGCTACAGCGCCCCAGCCTGTCAGTCAAACTAGAAATTACGTAAATTCATCCCACAAGTTAAGAAAAACAGAAACAGTAGAGTGGAAACAAAAAATCAATGTGTGCAAATGAGTTGAACACCAGGGACAGTGAAAACAACAGTGGACCAAGGACAGACCTCTGTGGAACCTCATGCGTAACTGCACAGGGTTTTAATTAATTAAAAATTAATGCATCAGATTTCATATAGCACTTTATCAGAGACCCTCAAAGCGCTTTACATTGGATACATCATTCATTAGCTCACACAGTCACACTTTGGTGGTGGTAAACTATCTTTGTAGCCACAGCTGCCCTGGGCAGACTGACGGACACATGGCTGCCAGTTTGCACCTATTGCCTCTCCGACCACCACCACACAACACTCACAATCATACACCAGTGGAGGACACACACTGGGAACAAGGCGGGTTAAGTGTCTTGCCCAAGGACACAATGGACAGAGTCGGAATAGGGGGGGAATAAGACCGCCGACCTTCCAGTTATTGGGCGACCGCTCTACCTCGGTGGTTCAACTGCTTTTTTAGAAAGTGTTGTTGATGAAAACCCAATGAGATCTTTCAGACAGGTAAGAGCTCAACCACCGAAGTACCTGACCTGAGACAATACAGCTAAAGAGGTGCCGTGACCATCCTGAACATATTCCTTTAACACCAACATATATCTCCACACGCTCTCAGTGGACTGGAGATATATTAGGAGAGAGGTTGAGTTTGAAAGTTTTCATTGGCAGGACGCTCTATCTCCCCGTCTCTCTGCTCGACCCCCTGGAGTCTCGCAAAACTTAGCAAGGCCCCACAGTTGGAAGCGGGATTTCCACAGGCATGCACACACCATGTTTTGTCCTCTTTCAGACATGCACTCTCTTGAGGCAAGTTTATAAAACATTTCACTGCAAGCTTTCCTACGCAGGGGGTTAAACCTTGAGTCTGTCAGCGCAGCAATGACATATTTTTTTGGACAGCTGGGGGATGAATCACTAAGGGAGGAAAATAAAAGGACAAGACAAAAAGGGCAAAGGAAAGATCCTGCAGCAGAGGGTAGACGGTGACACACCGTTTTATGGAAGGGCTGGGAAGAGCTGCTCATATTTTTCATGTCAGTTGTTATTAGACTGCATGAAAGACATGCAGGACTGATTTTAGTTGGACTTGAGGCCATTTTGCCCTGGCTGGTGTCCTTCCTTTGCCAAATAAAAATCAGTGACATGTGTGTATCATTTGTAGTCTAATCCCCAAACGATTCACTTTACAAATTCGGAATGTTTAACTGATCCCAGGACAGCTTTTATGTTTTAGGAGCGGTAATCAATAACAGACAGTGTTGGTGGGTCTAACAGCATTGGCGCTGACTCACATGATGCAATAACTATTTAAAACTTGCTGTAGAACTGTAGATGGACATTCATGATCTCCAGAGGATCAGCCAGAAAGACATAAGGAGTCCACCTAACTTTTAGACAAGCAGCTATCAGGTCAAAAAGGTAACTTTATGGTGATGGCAACTATTACTAGCTGAGGATGAAATTGCAGTTCCCAACAAAAGCAAGATATCAGTTCAAATAAATTGATTTATCACTGTAATCTGACTGAAACTGGACTTAAAAAAGAATAGAAAAAACATCCCCAGACGCATGAACTTGAAGCTTTCACAGAATTTGACTTACAACATTGTGAATACCCCAAGAGGGGGGCGCTCATATGGTCTCCTCCTGATGGTAACACGACCCCATTTGAAGTACAGCCGCGCAGAACTGCAGGAGAAGGTGTTTTTATATGTATAAATATCAGGTACCATAAACACATAACATATGGTACAGGTTCTTTCTCTTTGTGTTTGTATAGTAGGTGCAGAAATGTTACATTCACATGAACATATACAGTGGGAACAGCAGAGGCGTTTTGTAGATGCAGGTCTGCAAACAATGGCTGCTGGATATACTGTGAGACTCTTTACATGAGTGTGGGAATGGGTTCAAATTTGCATTAGCAGGTCAATGTGCTTTTGAATAGGTTTGTCTCTTTGCATGTATGTGTGTGTGCTGTAAGGGTTTGGATACAGAGAGAGGCTGTTTTCAGGCCCCCGTCCCTCCCCATCCCTCCCCATTCCTCTACAAGTCCACATGTGTTTTATTAGCAGGCAGGCCCGCTGGACTGTAAATTCCAGCAGCGGGCTGGCCTGAGGATATGCACAGCCCGAGGTTCAAGGGAAAAAAAGGGGGACAAAAACTGAAAAAAAGAGGCCAGGAAGGAGTCACCTTTCTGTTGTCTTACTGCCATTTTTATAGTGTTTGACAATCTTATTTGAGTCCTGTTTGCTCCTCTCTTCATTCCTTTCCTCTTACCCAAACTCTCCCTAATTCTTTCATTAAGTTGAGTCCATTTCCAACCCTACTTTGCAAATTACTCTCCCGCTCTTTGTCTTTCTGTGTCTCATTTGTGGACTGTTTTTTTTTATGTCGTCTCTTCCCTCTCATCCTCCCCTCTTCCTTCCATCTGCTCTCACTCTTTCTCTCACTTTGTTTCTGTTTCTGCGTGTAAATCTTCATTCTTGTTCTGTGAGTCCAAAACCACTGCATTCCCACAACAGCAAACACTTAGAGACAAGAGCTGTGGCTTAAACAATGGTTTCCGTTTGCCCCGGGACTGAATAACTCACTCTCTGCCTCCCCTCCACACACATACTCTCTCTCTTTGTCACACACACACAACAAAAAGATACACACACTTTGACACACATTTCCACTGCATGGCTCCTATCATTAAATTTTATGTTAGCTTGCTAATTTTCCAGTCTCTTTCCTCTCCATCAACGTGACAATCATAATTTAAGCGTGACAAGGTAGGTCATGACCTAATCCCCTCTGTTGCCCCCTGAACCCTGACACCCTCCTCAGGGTGCAACAGCATGTTCTCAGTTCAGACTGTACCAGCACAGTGAGAGGGAGGAAAGTGCGAGTGATGGAGGTGAACCTAAGATAAGACATTAAGTCCTATGTCCAAAGTGAACCACACTGATGCTGTTATGGTTAGTTCTCCTGTTTTGAGTTTCCAGTAAAGGTTTTAGGGTTAAGGGTTACCTTTTGTCGAGGGTTTACCGAGCTCACAGTTTTAAGATATGCTTAGCCAAGTTAGGTTTGTCCCGATTCGTGAATTTGTACAACTCCCATGTAGAAGAAGCACAACCATAAACCACTCGAAAAAATGCTCTTGACATGTTCAAGTTAAAACTCCTGTGAGAAACTTTTGGTTTCTGTCTACCTTGGACAAAACAGTCTTCACTTACTTTAGCTTAGCTCGTTCTCTAAATGCTTTAACAGCATCCCCTGACCAAAAAAAAATTGCATCCTGCTGACTTTTCACAGCCAAATGATCATTTTTGTGAATATTTGAGGTGGAAATTGTTAAAACAGGGCTGTTTCTTTGGCTGTTTGGCTGACACCTAACCGCTCACTCTGATTTAAGGCACTAAAAATTATGACACAAAAATCGTCAGTCATGTCCCTGATGGACATGTGTTTTAATGATATAAACAGGCATTGAAAATGAAAGCTCACAATAGCTTTCACAAATAATCAGGTTTAAGACACTACTTACTTATGTGGAGAACATGATAGGTTAAGACTCTTTTGTCCACTAGGGGTGCCATAATTGACATAAACAAAAAGTCTCTCACAGGAGCTTTAATGATTGAACATCACAAGCAGCAGTATTTGAAACAGTAGGAACTGAAAGGCTACAGACCATTTCAGCCCACGCTTTTTCAGTGGCTTTCTGGGCTTCTTGAACGACAACATTCCTTGGCCAGGAATCCAGTAATTGGGTTAAAGTTGGCTAATTTTAACCTTGGACACTTCACTTCCACAAGTAAATTGGAAGCAGAAACTTAGACAAATCCATGAAAGTGTGTGACTCCAGGTAAACTTGAAAACCATTTTTATTCATGAATCCTTTTCTGGCTGATATTTGGTTGTCAGAGTGTTCTTTAAGGAAAGCAAAACACAGATTCTTCATATAAAATCTAAAACTCCTCATCAGGTTTTACTGTGTGAGATCGGAGGGTCGTATTGTAAATGTGCAAGTCATAAATGCAACATTTGGCCCTTGCCTTTAAGACTCAAAAATCTTGTAAGCCAACTCATAACTCAAAAATGTGGATGAAAAACAGTGAAAGTGGGGCAGTCCTTCCTTTTAATCCTACCTCTGAAAATGTACCTCTATCCAGGGGCATTAGTAGGCACTGCACTTATTTTTCCACTGCTCTGTTAGTTTTTAGCAAGTTGATCCTGTCACCTAAGTCAGCTTTTTTCCTGTCTTGGATACATAGGAGTTGATAGGGGAAAAAGGAAGAGTCAGGGGCTAAAAACATCTCTTGAGGAGTTTATGAGTGGTGACGCCATTGTGCTGTGCAGTTTAATTACCTCTCTACCAGCAGGTCTGGTTCCCATTATGTCTGCTAACAGCCAGCTCTTCTCAGCGCTGCTCTCCTCCCCGCTGCCTTGTCCTCAATTGGCATCCCCTTCACCACAAAAATACTCATCTCAACAAGTACTTCACCCCAGCATTTGGATTCAAAGTGGTCTTTTCTTTGCAAAAAGTGGCTGAATTTACCAACAAGAGAACTTCATGTACATTTTAGTCAGTCTGGAGGATCTGTTTGTTAACACTGCATGTCTTAAATGCATGAAAGACAAGTATCTTCATGGGACACCTGCACTTCAAAGTGATGTCATGTCATCATTTTTAATTATCCGTTTGACAAACCAAGGGTGTGAAAAGGAGTTCACTGGCAGCAGTTACCCAAATGATTTTAAGATGAACATTGTGTGGATCCAACATATGTGCATGCAAGCAGCCCCCTCACTGTTTCACAGACAGGATGTGGAAACAGTGTTAGACCGCTAAGCTAAAGACAAACAGCAATGAGGGGTGAAATGAAACCGAGGGGATTCAACACAGGCCTCTCCCGATGAGAGGATGTGGTCAGAACATCCCCTGTCTGAAATAATATAGTATTATTCCATACAATTTCTGACCAACACATGGACTCATGCTTGCTGAACACACTCTAGAGAAAGATGCTTTTGTTTCAGAGTTTGGAACAATGAACAGTTGTCTTACTTTTAAGTGCCATGGAGCAATTTTTACTCATTATATGTCAGAATGAAGCCCTGTGCTGCGAATACGTCCAAGACTTGGTGGTCTTTTAAGACCACTTATTTGTTCCAGACTGAACATCAATGAAACTGGTAATGGCACATCAGTGAAACTATAGACAATCATGGTCCCAAGATGTTATGTCCTGTTGGCTTTGGTGATATTCTTGACTCCTTTTCCAGTAACACCATGTGGTTGAGCTGATGCAACCAAGTTAGATTGCAATAGAGGTCCAGTATGCACAAACATTAAATTTCCCAATTTTGGTGATGCCCTTTGCACTTTGATAAATATTTGTTGTGAAATACACAATTAACCAAGTAACAGATTTGTGCAGACATCTGTGGTCCCAAGGCGACATACCCTATTAAAAATGGTGCTTGCCCTTTTATGTTGTTTCAGTCAGACACAATCCTGTCACAGATTTCAAACTAGTTTTTGCCCTTTATTTAAACAATTGTTTAAGCCCAGGCTACTCAGTGAGCAGCCAATTTCAGGAATGTGGGGTGGCAGTAGCTTTGGCGGTAGAGCGGTCGTCCAACAACTGGAAGGTTGGTGATTCGATTCCCCCCATTCCTTGTCTGTATGTTGTGTCCTTGGGCAAGACACTTAACCTCCCTTGCTCCCAGTGTATGATTGGTATGTACGTCACTTTGGATAAAAGCGTCTCCTAAATGACATTGTAATCTTGTGATTGTAATTGTAAGAATGGGTTTGACAACTTGAATCTTGTAGACCTCGCCCCTCCACTTTGAAATACTCTGTACAAGCATGCATGCAAAGCTGGGCGTAAGAGAAACAAAGATGCTACTGTACATCCTGAAGAAGCTATTCTCCAGTCATGTGTTATGTAAATAATAAAATCTCTATATTAACAGTAGGCGTGCTCCAGACCTTGCATTTTTATGATGCCAAATGCAGCATGCATCCTTAAAAGGACACCCAGAGGGGAATCTGCTTGTCTGGTTTCTGGATGATCTTTTTATTAAAGGCCATTTAAGAGGAGGCCAATTGAGAGGTTCCCACACAGACTATTATTTTAATTTGCTAACATTTGCATGGTAGTAGGCAGATGTGCCTAGCCAGCTAAAGGGATTCAAAGGGTATTCATCTGTTGTCTTGTTTCAGTATCAGTACACATGAGAACTAAGAGGTACGGTGAATCTGTAGCCTACAATCAATTTGATGATGCAGGTCCAGAAATGATCCCCATTGCTCTGTTTTACATACTCTCAGCTGGAGGGGAGCAAACAGTGAGATTGTGGTATGAGACTTTTCCACAGGTTAATAAACAGGTTAATGGACTGGAACGAAGCCACAAGTTAATACACAGCAATAAACTGTAAAATAATTCCTGCTCTAACAGTACGTTTTTACAGAGTAGGAAGTGAAGTTTGGCGATGAGTAGTTCTTGCCAATGTCATCCCCCGCTGCCCCTTTAAGAGGTTTCAGCCCTTCGTCTCATTACCTGCAGGGCTGTAGGGTGAAGAGGATGTGGTCTGCTTAGCCAGGATTTAGTAATGTTTTCCCCCCAACACGGTTTGCAGACTCCAGCTGTGGACACAAGTTCATGTTCTTCTATATGTGCACACACACACACAGAGACACACAGGATTAGCCCGATTAGTCATTGCTCGCCATGCTGAGTAACATAAAGAGGTGGTCCTGAGTCGAGAAGACACACAATTAAAAAAAGACATGAATCAAGAGCCAAAAGCCATGGAAATGCCATCAGAGGCAATGTGGAGTAGACAAGGTTACAGCTGAATCAAATGTGTTTGAGGCCGAGTACATGGACTTAAAAATATCTGCCATGTTGTATAAGCATCGAGGCACGGCTGGTTTGACTGACAGGTGGGTGCTGGAGCTGTATGTATACCAGGTGGTGCAGCACTGGCCTTAACTCCAAGTCTTAAGTGGAGTTAGCTTTTTGATTGCCATCTTTGGGCTCAACAGCACATCTTTAGTAACCAACAGAGATAATAAAAAAAAGTCCAGAGAGATCACAGAGAAGGTGTTGAAATCATCGCTTTGGAACCAGCCCATCTCCGTGGAAGAGCATGCCGGGTTTGTCGTCTGTTGTATTCATGGTACGTCCTGCTGTCTCGATCCCACATTTCAAATACTGGCTCACCAGAACTGTCAAAGTTCATGTCAACATACGAGGGGATTTAAGACATGATGTGACTGCTGTTGGTTTTGCAACTGACATTTGGAGCTCTGACATTTGTCCCATGTCTTTGCTGAGCCTAACTGTAAGCTGGATTGATGCACTGTTATGTTTTACTGTGTTTTCAGTTGTTTATCTGTAAAATGAAAATATACTTAACATTAAAAGACAGTTTGACATTATGACTATGAGCTTTGAACTTCCCTTGCTTGACATCAGATGAAAACGCTTCTATGGGAATAAAGTCATTCAAGTATGAATGTGTATCACTGTGAGTGAGTGAGTGTGGAGCCATTAGTTATTCTACCTTTGCTTAGTGGGGTCAGCCAACGGTGTGAATGCTGACACGGTAATATAAATCATACTGGACAACTCCTACAAGTACACTGGGAAAACTTGGATTTACACTGTGATTTAAGGTGTCACAGGGCATTTCCGGACTCTTTTTCAGTTAAAGAGCAAGACAAATGATGAGGGTAAAAACGGGGTAAAAGTCGAAGAAAGGTCAGGAGACAGGGGATTCAATCTGAGGCGTAGGATGTGAAAAACTGCACATTAAATCAGCAGTGGAGTGTGTGTGTGAAAGAGGATGAAAAAGACAAAAGTTCTGATTAGTTCTTAGCTGTAGCTTTCTTTGTAGCTTGTCCAGGTTGTCTGCTTATCTGGGTCAGGGCCGCATTCCAGACAAATGCAGCCCTATGTCTCCTCGCTCTGTCTCTGAAATGCTGCTAATGTAGCCATTATCTCCGTGATTTGGTGATAGGAGACGTCCAGCAACACTCATTCTCGGTAATTACAGGCTGTAGCAAGTCTTAGCCAGGTATGCTGCTTGTCAAAATGGTTGATCTGAGGAAAGTAGGTTTGCTTCTTAGTTTTTTTTACATAAACAGCAACTAAACTCCCTAAATGTGAGTTATTAGCTGCAGTTTGTAAGCGTCACTGGAGATGTTGCCAAAATGGTCTGAAAAGGTCAGACACGCCAAATGTAATGTATTTGGAAACAACCTAAGAGTGGAGCTAAGTGGGAAACATTACCTCGGTGTAGGATTGTGATTACATTCAAGAGCTCATCGGTCATTCTCAAGAGGTGAAGCGTAACTGTGGGCGGGTGGACCAGCTTGACCCAACAGTCGTCTGAGTAATGGACCAAGTGAGAAATGTCTGGTTTGATACTCGGATGAATAAAAGGGAAGCAAAAAAGAGAAACTCTGGTCAAGCAGGAGGAGTAAACTGATGACCTACTGAACAACAATGTTGATCGATATCAAGAGAAACATGGAGAAACAAAGAAGAGACAGAGATAGTAGACTAATGGACCAGGATGGGCAGTTAGTCTGCTCGTAGGGCTGATACTATCTCTGGCAGGCATTTTTCTCACAACAGTAGACAGTAAATCAATCACAACTGACTCAGAAAGGCCTGAGGAGGTTAGCCCTCTAAAAATGCTTACTCTAAACATTACACTAACATCCCACAGACGGAGTCAAGATGTAGTTTTAGAATGACAGTAACTAAAAATAGTTTAAAAATGATGAAAACTAATCTGCTAAAACTTCAAAAACTACATTTAAGCAAACAATTACCATGACGCCGAGTAGCTGTATATTTCTTCTTCTGAAGAGGATGATTAAATTGATAACATTCTTAAAGCTAATAAAGCTCTGTGTCACAGTTTACTAACATTTTTGCAATTCTAGGCATCACTGTGGAATAACAGCAGACAGTATTGAGCATGTGGCTCCAAGAGCTGGGCCTATACTAAAAAGCAGTCTCAATTAGGGGTGTCCTAATAGGATATTGATATCGGATATCAGCAAAAAAAGAATATCGGACTATATCAACCTGCATCTAAAATCTCCAATATCAGCACTGCGACACAAGCAGCCCATTCCAGACTCCGCTCCAGCCCCTCTATCTAGCAGCGCCCTAATCCAGCAAGTTTAACCAACAAAAACAGTGTTTACTAAGGTACTAACTAAGAGTGATGTTGGACTTGTGGCAGTATTTTTTGTTTAAGTCCGAAAAAGACATTGCAGCTGAGTGAAGAACTTGTCATAATATCGGTATTGTGTGTACCTGACTTTAACAACCTTGACAAAGAAAATCACCCTTCACAGTTCCACTGAGCTGGTTATCAGCCATATACGCCATATATTCCCCCTAATCCAAGTCTGTCCGTTGTGTCCTTGGGCAAGACACTTAACCCACCTTGCTCCCAGTGTGAATGTACCTTTGGTACTTTGTGTGTATCTGACTTTAACAACCTTGACAAAGAAAATCACCCTTCACTGTTCCACTGAGCTGGTTATCAGCCACATGCGTCAAACCCATAGACTGTATAATAACTGGACATCATGTTGCCGGTCTGTTTCTAAAGTGGAGTTTTAAAGCTAATCAGTAGTGGTTGCTATCTTGGAAATGATTGCTCAACCTAGTTTTTGGTCAACCAGGGGCGGGCCTTTAGCCTCCTCACTGTGAGCCACTGTAAAGTGGCAGCAGTAGAAGATTTTTTTATTGGCCAGTCATCATTTTACCAAGGATGATACAAAATCAGCAATATTCAAAGAGTTACCATTTTGTCCACACGGGGTGCCAAACTCAATTAAAACCGAAAGTGCCTTACAGGAGCTTTAACTTTCATTAGTATTTATCATAAAACCAGATAGGTATGCCCTAACCCAGGGCCCTCTGGAGACGCTCACACAGCTCCATGATAAAGTAATTTGATTGGCCAGGGGGTGGAGCTTTCTTCAGACTGATCTGTTATCACAAATCTAACCAGCCTAGAGCAGTATTGGTGTTCAGCATGAGTTACCATGTTGATCTACCCTGATAAGAAGTTAATCACCTTTGTAGGTGTACATATATCCCCAAAGTTACCTGACAGCAAATCCTGCTTTGTAGTACATCCCAAACTTCTGCTATTCCATGTCTTAAACCAATACAGACAGCAAAGGCAGAGGGATTTGGTCACAGTCCATCTGCATTAAGCTACAGGCTTCCAGCTGCCTTCTTCTTCTCCAGATGTTTGGCTGTTATGTTGGTTCCTTGATGTCACCCTGGGCTTTAAAAAAACGTCATTGGTGCATAATTAGGTACATATTTTCACTTGCTGAAAGGATGTCTTCCTCTCCTGCCATGTCCGTCATATGACCCTGCACACATGAGCATATATATTCAGTGCAGACAGGGTCGTATGAAAGGCTAGTTTGTTTTAACACATATGCAGAGTCTTTACAGATTATAACCAGAGAGCGCCAACTGATTCTTTTTCTACATGATGTAACTGTAGCCTTGAAGGGCTGAAATTAAGTGAGAAGTGAATGTGCCAGAAACAAAATCACAGTGAAAGGGAAACCAAGGCTTTGTTTAGTCAGATTGTCTGCTGATGGGTGATTATCATAAGAACTTCCTTTTATTCATCGTCTCCTCTTCAGTTCATGATCTTGTTAATTGTCCACACATTAGCTGAGATTTCCTGATCTGTTATCCGGGGGAAGTGACTGGTGTCCAGATGACTTACTGATGGTGTAACATGCCGTGTTACTCTGGCCTGTATCCACTTGCTACCTTCTTTTTAAGCCTGCAGTGTTAGATAGTTGGAAGTGTATGATAAGAACGACCATTCCTTGATAAACAGGGTCACACTATAGCACCGTAATAGATTCCCATAGTGGTCTCACAGGGTTCACCTCACCACAGGATGCTGGCTCCAGACCAGGTCCTATTGTAGCACGTAAGTGAATAAGGCCACAGTTGGTTGGTCAACATGTATATGTTTTTTCAGGACTCATAGCTGGCAGGAAAAAGTTGTGAAATTGCTTTTCACATTGGCGCACACCCCCTGTTGCTTTTCTGAGTAAGTGTGGCAAGCCTCATTGCAGACCGCTTAGGAGGGCAGTATTTCTTTCTGTCAGTGGGCTGTGAACACTAAACTTCTGCCCAGAAACTTTAAGCCTGTGTGCAAAGTTAATAAAAAAGAAAAGGGAAGAAAAAGAGAGAGGGGGCGTGGAAGAAGACAAGATAATTTAGAGCAAGTGAGGAGGAAAAAAGCGGAAAACGAAAGAACAAGAAGTTTTCATTGCTTTGATTTAAGAGAACTTGGCTGTCCAGAGGGAGGAGGATGTGTTTTCTATAAGACCGAGCCATAAAAGCAAGCTGGAAATGGGAGAGCACTTTCAATCAAAACCAAGATATTTGTTACAGAGGATGCTGGGTGAGGATGACACTGCTGGAGAGTAAAAAGGAAAGTTGCTTGTGGTGCGGTTAGCAGCAAAAATCTACATTTTGTGGGTCATTTGCTTTGATGATGCTCTCTAACTTTAACGTCATCAAGCAAGACCACAGTCCACAAGGGGAGACTTATGGGTAAAAATGAGGGAGTGTAAAGAACCATAAACATTGTTGTCCCGCAAGTACAACAAGAAAACACCATCTGATTCATGTAACATGGCTGATGGCACGTAGCAGAGTCGGGTAAGACATACAGTGTCAGCTGTGCCTTCCCTGTGTGTTGTTTTATAGCTTCACCATTCATCTTCCCATTCACACAACTATGCACCACCATTTGTCTCTGTGATGGTGGAGGATGTCATAAATCTCGCCACTGTGTATGTGAGTCTGCACACGTAGGTGTGTGTTTGCATCTCTGGTTTAAGTTACAAAACAGACATGAGGTGCTTTCAAATGCTTCTAAAGGCGTTATGGTTTGTTTCCCCTATAAATATCATACTGTGTTGTTTTCATTTGTCCGCTTGAACATGGTTTTGTTTGAAAGATATCGAAGAGGGATCATTAAATGCAGTTATAAACAGCGATTAAAAGTAGATCTCATTTGGTTTAATGGTGATTGGACTGGGCAAAGTGACAAAGAGAAATAGCACAGTCCATATTTTCTTCCTGCTTAAACCAACTCTATGAACCCGTTTACTCCAGCTGTGAAATACCAAACAGTAGACAGACATGGTGACTGAGTAAAAAGTGGACTATTTAGTCGCTAAATAAGCTGATATTTCAGTCTGGAGATGGAGGAAACTGAAACAGGGGTTAAAATAGGCACTAACTATTGAGCCTGTGATCCTAGATATGTCGAATCTCTGAATAAATGCTCCTGTTGTTGACTTTTCTTCTTGTGCATACACCCAAAAGATTACCAATATTTTTCACAATATTTTTTTACATGTTTGCCGGGTATATTGTGCAGTCTATGCATACCTGAAGGTACAGAGAGCTCAGATTTAGTGATAATGTTTTATGACTTGAATTTCCAAACCTAACTCTTGGTTTCGGTCCCTCTCTCTTTCTCCCCCGGCCTGCGTGATCGTCTGGTATGGCAGGAATGTCACACATCACACACGCAGTGGCAGCAGCCGCGACAGCGACCACACACTCTGGAGGTTTATGGTCAGTTGACAAGTGGATTATCGAACCTTGAGGTACGAGGACACCAGGCGCATACCAACACCAGAAACATATCTATTCCTAAAATGATCAAGAAAAAGGGGGTGTGGAAATGGACAAAAACAGCTGTACTTCATGGATGGACTGTTTTTTTGTTCTCAGAGATATTTGCAACTGATCATTTACACACAAAAAGCCGATCCCTCCTGGAGGCACATCAGATGACAACTATCTCACCCTGAGTATGTTTGTTGGCTCACTGTTACACCCCAGACCCACAGGCTCTCCAGCAGGTCAGCAGACAGGGGTCAAAGGTGAGTCTGTGTACCTAATGAGAGACAAAGACTGATGGAATTACAAGACCAGACTGAGTTTGACAAGGAATATAAATGTTCCTTCGGGTCTATTTTTGCGGCTTTTAGGGCTGATTCATCAGAAATGTTTGACACTGAAACATGGACTTGAAAGATATTTCAGATGTTCTTTCTTTGCTGGGACCATGGCCACCCACTGTGAAACATGCACCTATGTTGATCTTGGATTCATAGAGGAAATGCTATAATACTTATCTTAGAACTCAACTCCCACCTGATGTGGTAAATATAGCCTCAAATGTTATTATTGATGTGATCTGAAGAAGCCCTTTCATAATGAGGCAGGAGACCGAGGGGGTCAAGCTAAAGATTCAAGATAATAAAAATGCTGATGTTTATATGAAGAGATGAATTAAAGCTTTGGAAGAGGAAGATCATAGGAATATGGGAGACAAATGGACATGGGAAAAGATTTAAAGGACAGGAAATTAATTCAGAGGGACGGTCGTAGCTGAAGCTATAATGACATTTAGATGGGAGTGTAAAATGGTTTGCCCAGTCAGTTCTGTCTTTATGGTTTTGTCTGATATTGAATTACTTATTTCTAAATTGCCCCTTTTTTTCCACTTTGGACAAATGACTTCATGTTTTTCACATTAGACACATTCCTTTAAGCCATGGGGCATCATCATCTTTGATGGACCCTTTCTATTGTTTCAACAGAGTCAAACTCAGAGGTTGTTGTTAAATAAAGAGTGAACACTTGTTGCATCCCATCAAACTATTTGACTTCCGTTGCTAAGGAGAGTATTTTGCACAACATTTTGCCCAGAAGTTCATGGTTTATCCATAGACATGGATTCAATACTGGCTTTGTTGATCCCCATGACACCCCCAGGCCACTACTTACATCCTTTGGAAAAGTTTTACCAGTGCATATACATCAGATGCATTTCATGCTTCTGCAACATTGAAATGCAGTGTGAAATCAGACGTGACTCCAAATGTTCTAGGGTTCAGTGATGGCACTGTTGCAGAGTTGTGTAAGAGGCTTTAGACTGTAAACCCTGATGATATCAATGACTTAAAGCTCTTGTGAGGGATTTTTAGCTACTTGTGTAACAGACTGAAATTGACGCTAATGCTACTTTATACTCCCCTTCAAGAAAAATACAATGAAGCCCATTAGCAACAAGATTGATCATCACTGTATAATATTTTTTTTAAATGGCTGTAACCACTTTCACGTGGATGGATTCATGGACTTAGCCAAAAAATGAACATAGTGTATGTTTTCAGTTAATTATATAGTTGACTGTTGAAATAGCAGGATGAAATCTTACATCAGAAAGCACTAATAAGACGCCAGACAGTCAACAAAGATATCAACAGCACCACTTTGTTCAAAAGCAACGCAACTCAAAAGTTCATCACAGGAGCTTTAACATTATCATGCTTTTAATGGAAACACATGCGCTGTGATATTTGGATGAAGCAAGTGCATTGTTGTAAAAATTAGGCCTATCAAAGAATATTCATTCTTCTAACATACAGTATTTTTGAATATTTTAGAAGAATAAACATGCAGGATGTGAAAATATACATTTAAACATTCATAAAAGAAAAAAAGAAAAACACTTCCATGCAACTTAGTTGCAGAATTGTGACTTTTGGGAGAAACAGTTAGAAAGTGTCTGGGGTAACATGCTATATTTAACAAAAGTACTCATATCTACCAAGAACCTGACGCCTGATATAGAGTATTCAGCTGTCAACTAATTTCTCGGTGATACCAGACTGGAGACAGAGAAAAATTCCAAAAGTGTTGAGGCTGGGTCACAAAAAGGCAAAATTTTCAGCCTGACTTCTCAGTATTTTCCATAGCCCCCCTGGTAAAATTTCAATGTGAAGTTGGGGTGAACTGATATGAGATCATGAGAGAATATGAGAACACAACAGGGATTTTCAGAACATTTCATGCAAGTATGGGCAGGGTTTATGGCGTTTATATAATGTAACATAGTAAACCTGCAAACCTGGAAGAGCAACACATGACATGAAGACGTGCAGATGATATTTGCATGTAGCAACGATCTAAACCGCAAAGACCATCTTAGGTCTGTGTTGTTTTATCCATAACTGAGCTATGAACTTTATGATGTGGTGGAAACGTTTCTTCAGCGTTATGCAATGCTTTCCTGAGAACGAACCACCCTCTTTATTCTAAATGTCATGCTGCAAGAGACATGCTTGAAATGTGCAGAGATCCTGAAAATTTCTTGTTAATTTCATGTCTGAATTTGTTAAAAGAGCTTTGAAATTATTCTTTTCAACACTAATTTATATTTATTAAAGATCTATACATGTGTTAATACAGTTGTGATTTTAGACATGTGTGTACACTGCACCTTTGGTACAACCAGCTGCCAGTTTTTTTACTGTAAAAATGCAGTTTAAACCTTTTTTATGGAGAACGCTGCACTTTTACTGCTCAAATAAGGTTATCTAGTGTTGAATTAACAGCAAAATGAAAAAAAATTCTGATAAAATATTTAAAGTATATGACAAAACTAATCATCTACTTTGGCTGTTAAATTAATGGATCTGATATCTTTTTACTGTTACAGAAAAAAAAAGAAAAAAAAGGTTGAACCGTATTTATTCCAGTAAGGCTCTCGCAACCCAGCTGCCTCTTTTTTTTTTTTACTTTTCCAGACATCATCATCTAACTTTAATAACAACTTCAATATTAATAATATTATTTTTATATAATTTTCAGAGTCTGCTATCATGGTACATTTATGTTTTCTGGTTCTCCCTGGTAAAAGTGGGAGTGGTCACCTGCACTGTCATTTTGCTGCAGATCATATGCTCTAAGAGAAATATTTGCACGCTCGGGCTGGAGATCCCTTCAGTCAGGATGTCACGGTGAGATGATGGATGAAGCAGGAAGAGAAAGTCATATCGAATCACCTGTCATTTTTTTTTTTCACTTCAGAAGTGAAAGAAGGAGAGAGAGGATAAGAGAAGACAAGGAGAGGAAGGCAGTGAAAGGCGTGTGTGTGTGCATGTGTGTGTGCGTGTGTGTGTGTGTGTGTTTGAGGAATGTCTGAAGGCTATTTCTGCAAACCCCCCAAACATCTATCAAGGCAGCAACATATGATTCACAGCCTCGCCAAGAGTCACTCCCACTTATAAGAAAACCCCCAGCAGCTGCCCAAGACGACGCTGACAGACGGACGAGCCAAAACCAGTCCCTCCCTCCGTCTGAAGATTTTCTGTGGGACAGCTCACACTCAGAGAGAGGTTTCAGAAAAAATAATGAGTGGCAGAAGTTTACAGCTGTACCGACAGAGACTGACAGAGAGAGAAGTCGAGACAAATGAGCGTCATTCTGAGGTTTACAGACGGGGTGACGACTGATGAAATGACAGAGACATAGAGTTCAAAAGGTGACAGGCTTCACTCTCAATAACTCAAAATGAAAGAAACTGTGAAATTCAACTTTTTCAAAGTCTCATTGGTTCAGTGTCTTTAAGGAAACAACATCATCTCTTCCAGTCTTTGGACCCCCTATATTACTGTCAATTGCCCAGCTGTATGAGACACTTGATTCTGATTGGGCGAAACTTCATAGCAACAGTGTTAAATATTTACATACAAACTGACACCAGAGACACCCTAATCGCACACGCCATATGAAATCAGTCCATGGAAAAGAGTCTGTTGACACTGTGGCAGAAACATGACAAACATTTTGAGAGCTCGAAATGAGGAGTCACTGGACAGCCTGAGCAGCTACTGGGCCTCTCTATAGGAAAATGTGGGTTAGATTATGTCCTGCTGTCCAACGACAACAGAGCAGGTGAGTACATCTCTAAGTTGGTGATCACAGCAAAGGTCCCTACTTAGCCCTTAAAGGCATGGTTAACGATTGGAGAGTTTGGTAATTATTATGAACCTCATTTATATGGCGATCATGGTCCTATAGTGCGATCTCCACAAAGTGAAGAGAAAGAAGAATGGAAAAAATGCGTTCACCTTAGCAGGTGCAGGGCTGCAAAAACATTGACCAACGGGAGCCAAGTGTGAGGGTGATTCTGGTGCTGAACACTGGCGTCAAACTCCCGTTTACTGGTATGTGAAGTGTGTGTCTGTCTCAACTCAGACCTTGAATTTTCTTTTGTTTCTCTTTATAATGAATCACAGCCTGAAGTAAACCGAACTGCTGTCTTGACTTGATATAAAACCAGCTTCTAAAATAAATTAAATCTCACACTCGCCTCCTGTAAATTTAAGCTCAGCCAAGAGGTGTGTGAATGGGATAAGTCAAGCACTGTATAAACATGAGTCATTTACCATAATTGATCTCATTATATATCACACTGAGTTTGAGCATCTGAGAGACACTAGTTATTGAGTTTGCTTCAGCTGTCCCATCAGGGGCTAACCCTAACCCTAACCCTAACTATTGTCAGAGAGACGAGAACATTTAAGAATATATTCTGACAGGAAAGTGGAGGAAATGCCCCAGTGGAATAAGAAGTAGTCTCAGGCTAGAGTATTTCAAATTTTTACAATTCAACAAGTGCCAAACAACAAGCGAAAAGACAAACTCAGAGAGTAAAAGTGATGCAGAACAAAAGAAAGAGGCAAATGGAAACAGACAAAGAAGAAAAGAAGTAGAGTTAAGCTGAGCAAAGCCACAGTCAACACACATGTTGAAATGATCAGATAGACCTCTCAGCAGACATCTTATCAATCAGGAACAGGAGACCGCAGTGTGTGTGTGTGTGTGTGTGTGTGTGTGTGTGTGTGTGTGTGTGTGTGTGTGTGTGTGTGTGTGTGTGTGTGTGTGTGTGTGTGTGTGTGTGTGTGTGTGTTAAAGACAGAGGGAGCATGTTATGAGATCTGCAGAGAGATGTTTGTCTTCAGGCTTG